GGGTGGTTTTTTTTTTTGGGTTGTGTGAAACTAAGATAAAGGAAGGTATCTTTGTTGGTCCTCAGATTCGTGAACTTCTTCGAGATGATGCATTTGACCATGCACTGCGTGGCAAGGAAAAGACGGCATGGAAAGCCTTCCAGTTAGTGGCAATAAATTTTCTCGGAAACAACAAGGCAGACAACTACAGGTTGTTGGTGGAAAACCTTCTCAAGGCATACAAAAGCCTTGGTTGCAACATGTTACTAAAGATACATTTTTTGCACTCTCATCTAGATTTTTTTCCACCGAACTATGGAGCAGTGAGCGACGAGCACGGCGAGCGATTTCACCAGGACATTGCAACAACAGAGAAACGCTATCAGGGCAAATGGAGCCCATCAATGCTTGCAGACTATTGCTGGACAGTGACAAGAGATGCTCCATTTAACGAATACAAGAGACAAGCCAAGAAGCGCCGAGTAGACCCTGAATAGGACTAAACTATGTACATAATAGTTTTTTGCCTTTTGTTTCATAATAAATTTTATTTATATAACCCTTTTGCTGATTTTTAAAGTGTTACATAAACAGAACAGGTGAAATATTATCATGTAAAGCAACCATAAACACATGAAAAGACCTAGGTTTACAATTTATGATTAAAACTCTACTATCTACACAATATACATAGACATAAAATGTAAAAACTTAAATATCTTAGAAACAGTAGCCAATCAATTGTTTTAATTGTCATATTTGAATTCAGCACATCAAAATACATAATAAATAGCACATTTTATCTGTGAAGCAGACGACTTCTCAAAAATTGTAGACCAGTGTATCCAGCTTCTCATCCACTGTAATCGCCAGATCCTTTTCTGCAGAACTGCTGCTTAACCAGTCAGTCCCCAGCCTGGGGGTTCTTCCTTCCTAAGTGCAGGACTCTGCATTTGTCCTTGTTGAACCTCATCAGATTTCTTTTGGCCCAATCCTCCAATTTGTCTAGGTCACTCTGGACCCTGTCCCTACACTCCAGCATATCAACCTCTTCTCCCAGTTTAGTGTCATCTGCGAACTTTCTGAGGGTGCAATCCATCCTATCATCCAGATAATTAATAAAGATGTTGAACAAAACCGGCCCCAGGACTGACCTCTGGGGCACTCCACTTGATACCGGCTGCCAACTAGACATCAAGCCATCGATCACTACCCATTGAGCCTGACAATCTAGCCAGCTTTCTATCCACCTTATAGTTCATTCATCCAATCCATACTTCTTTAACTTGCTGGCAAGAATACTGTGGGAAACCGTAGCAAAAGCTTTGCTAAAGTTAAGATATATCACGTCCACTGCTTTCCCCATATCCACAAAGACAGTTATCTCATCATAGAAGGCAATCAAGTTGATCAGGCATGACTTGCTCTTGGTGAATCCCTGTTGACTGTTCCTGATCACCTTCCTCTCGTCCAAGTGCTTCAAAATGGTTTCCTTGAGGACCTGCTTCATGATTTTTCCAAGGACTGAGGTGAGGCTGACCGGTATGTAGTTCCCCAGGTTCTCCTTCTTCCCTTTTTAAAGATGGGCACTATATTTGCCTTTTTCCAATCGTCTGGGACCTCCCCCGATTGCCACAAGTTTTCAAAGATAATGGCCAATGGCTCTGCAATCACATCAGGCAATTCCCTCAGGACCCTTGGATGCATTAGATCTGGACCCATGGGCTTGTGCATGTCCAGCTTTTCTAAATAGTCCTTAACCTGTTCTTTCACC